GGATTGATCGTACATTATAACGCCCCCACGGCTGAAAGGGCGAGCATGTTTGATTGCAAGTCGAGCTCCCTAACCACCTGGCCATGCCGGGCGTGGAAGTTTGGTCTGAAACTATCTTGTTGTAAATTTACTTTATTATATTTCTATATACCCAGTGGTGTAGGAAGGAATTGCAAAGTGCTTGGTTAGACATGTAGATTTTACAATGAGAGATTGAAAGTATAAGGAGCTTCTAAAATCAGCTCCTGTGCTGCCAAAGCCAGCTCAATATAGGAGGGGAGGGGTCTGAGGGCATGCCCCTTAGGAAATTGATATAATAATATAACTTGCAGTTGCCATATAAGTCAAATATGTAAAAGTGGTTCCGACGCCTCTGTATATATCAACTAGGTCGTCACTAAGAGCGATGACCGCTGCAAGATGTCGCCCGACTAGCATACATTGGCCAATAGGAATACGTATCTAGTGTATATTATGGGATATTTATATACGGTTTCGCATTCTCGACCTTGCATTAGAATCATGCAAATAAACTGTTTTTGAAGACCTTATTATATCACTTAGTATGCCATTATATAGTTAATTAGGAGTTATTTTAAAATTTTTAGGCTAGTTGATTTTAAATATTAGATAAAACACATATTAGAGAATATACATTGTAGTGTTTTGGACATTCTGGATGTTTTGAATTTGATAATATTAATGTAATGTAAAAGATGGAAAAGACATTTTAATATAAAATTATATACACACATACACACACACATATATATATATACACTAAAAACGGGATTTTTGGAGATTACTAAAATATTATTATTATCATAAGAATCAATGAGAAGTAATCACAATGCACATAAAATGGCAATACTAAAAACTAAGAAGGGACTGTGACAAAATTAAAAACTGTGATGGAACTGTGACTTCATTAAAAGTTATCATACAACTATAAAAACATTAAGAAATATTAAAGAAGTAAGATAATATTAACACCTATCACTTAACAAAGAAAATACTATGAAAAATCACGAAATCATGGTCTAAACAAATGAACTTTCTTGAGTCCCCGCTTTCGCTCATCTCTCCCACGTTTATAGTGACGTGACCATACTGTGTAATTTGAAGCTTTATAAGTCGCCTAAGTCTGCGGCTCACGGATAATTAATACAGAGACGGGTCGGTAAACGTCTCATTACTCACAGCCCCTGTGGTTAAGCATGATCTCCAGGGTCCTGCAACACGGATGTTGTTAAGGCTAAGGTGTGATCAAGAGAGGTCTGGTGACAAGCGAGGTGTTACAGAAATAAATCTACTAAATCACCCTGAAGGTTTTTATGTTAACAGCTTAAAGGCTGCATGTAATAAGACATTCGAAAAAAGTTAAAATTGACTTTAAACTTCGAGGGTCTGTTAATCATCATTTTAATGAAATTACATTCAAATGAGTGAAGTTAAAACTAAATCTTATTTAACTGGTCTTCTAGTTTTCTGATTTCCAATTTACATAAAACATCTGTAGAGATATACGGGTTAAAAGTAATTCACGAAATATGTTTTAATTATATTTGCCCTACTGATTACTTATTTTTCAAATTGGTTTAAATAGTTTTAAGTTTCAAAATTTCTAATAATATTTTTTGTAATCTGATCTGATGATGCCTTCGCTTAAAGTGATGATATGAATTATTTTTATATGCTAAACCATGAATGAAAAGATCCTTCGAGAAAATGAGTAACTACTTTTTGTCAAGATGTTGATACACGAATGGAGAGATCTGATGCTAATAAACATCATCCGTGGCCAGCGGTGAGTTGACGGCTTTGCAAGCTAAAATCCGGAATTCGATTCCTTGTGGTGGACAGATAGTATATGACCTATTGTATAGCTTTGCATTTAAACAACCTAACATGGTTCGAAAATATGAAGACATGTTTAATGTTCAGTAGTTACTCATATCAACAGATGTATCCCCACCCCAAACGTAAACATACAATTTCACCTGAAATTTAATAAATTATATAACTACTATTTAAGAGTCTGTCTGTCCTTTCGATAGCTCGCCAACCGATAGCTCAGTGATAAGTCTCACACTTTACATCTCTAAAACATGGGTTGCGATACCCACGGTGAGCAGAGAACAGAAAACCCGTTATGTCGCTTTGCGCTTAGTAACAAACATATTTTCAATAACTTTAAATAATTTTTCAAGGTTCGAAATTTTCCTTAGTGTATTCTTTTAATCCTGAATTTAGTTGCCTTAACCTAAATTAGGGATGAGACAAATAATAATG